CCTCAAATGTTGTTGTACAGACCAGTTGATGACTTCTAATCTAGATAATCTCTAAATTTCTTCTAACTTTCAAAGTCAATAAAATAATTTGAGTTTACATTAATTAATAACTACATTACATTTATTCTTAAATATGTATAATAAAATCCTAAATTTAGAGAATTTTATCTGATTATTCAAAACGTAAACAAGCCAAAAATATTTATATGAGATTATAGTAAATTTCTGAATGTTCCTTCCTGTTAGTCTTCCATAAACTGTTTCTTAACTGTTATCACTGTGTCTTCTGAACTTTAACAGTAACATTGGGGTTAGCACATCGTTTTTGTTTCATGTTTCCAGTTCTATCTTATCAAATAGAAACAAGCTCCTTGAGTTTAACCACTATGGTATACACTAATGTTGATTATTAAAGTTCTAGTTAAAACTAAAACACTGTATCACTTTAAATAATAGAAGTTGCCCAGGTTAAGTACTAATTTCAACAAGAATATAAGCAAACTAGTTTATGTTAATAAGAATGTAAAGAATCATTTTATGTAAAATTAGTAATGTATAAATTTAAAAGTGATGGTGTTTGTAATCTTTATAATATATAATAAGTATTCTTCACTTTTGAAGATGGGTTTGTTTTTGAGAGATTTTGTGTCAAATATAATTAAAAATAACATGAAATACAATGGGATTCTTTAATAGAGTTGATTATTTTATGAACTGAAAAATTTACTAATTTTACCTGATTTGGGAAATTTAGAATTCCATTTTGTTTTTTATGGTTGGTAAATATATAGGTAGAGACCAAAATAAAAACTTCAAGAACTTGTCACCAACTTATATGTGATATAAAAAAAGAATATTACATTCAAAGAGTTTTGCCAAAATTATCACCATTTAGTCTATTAATCTATGAGAACCAAAATTTTAAAACACTAAGGGTAATATATAAACCTGTTTGTCCATGAATTCCCAATAGGCATTAATATTCGTACAAATAATTAGCTATCATGTTAAAAGAGATACAAAAATTTCACACTTTCTCTAAACATTTCTGCAAAAGAATGCCTTATTTACAGGTACTCAGGCTCTTAATTTCCTCTTGTAGAGTGAGTTCTCAGCTTCATAATTTTATGACTACTTCTCTCCTTTAGGTAATAGGAAAGAGTATATAGTGTCCATTTTCACTTGGTATGTTATTATTTAAAAATTGGCTCAACTTTACTCAGTGTTCATGTAAAATAATTCATTTAACTGAAATTTATATTAAGGAAATGGCTCTTAGCTGTCCAAATTGTCCAGAAGTTTCTTATTTGTATTCTAATAATTGACACAAATTTTACAGTTAAAAGGTCTATCCTATCTCCAGAATACAAGAAGAAAATAATAAGAAATAATGTTAAAATTATAATTTCTATATTGAGATACAGAAAATATAGATAGCTTTGATTTATTTATATTTAAAAATTTATAATATATTATCTAAGTATATAACAATACAGAAATTAAAATGTCTTTTTCTTATTAAAGATAATTCCAACTTAATTTATTTCTCTTTAATTGGGAACAGGTTTTAAAAAAGTCCCAGATAAATTGGCTGTTTGTTTTAGTTATTGAAATTTACTTAATAAATATATGTAACAAAATTATAGAGTATGAGCATTCCAGAAGTTTAATAATTCCAATTATTTAAAGGTTGTAAATACCTAAAAAAAACTTTAGTTTCTCTCTCTCTCATAGATTTTGTATCGAACAATTTTACATAGACCAATAGTTCTAATATTTTAATTGGGAACATTTAGAAACATGGATGTGCTATATTGTGTTGTAACTGGAGATTCAGTTAGAGAAATCACGGTCTTTTTCCAAGATTAATTCTGGCAAGCAACACTGGAATAATATATTAAAACCCATGTCATAGAAACAGCACCTCAGAAATGGGAACTGAGGATTCAAGATTGGCAGTCTCCTAGTGCTTAATGTTAAGAACTAGCTTAAAGGCTAGTCATAATGATATTGGAAAAGGAATAATTCTTCCTTCCAACATGTTCTCAGAGTCCAAAAATATAGAGGAGATGGCAAAAAGATTGTTGAAAAATTACAGCTCTAGAAAATTAGGTCAAGAGATGAACTTGGAAGCCACCAATAAATAAAAGCCATAAATAATCATATAAATATTTTTGGAAGTCTTTTGACAATTTCTGGATAATGAATATTATTATACTCACTAAGGATATTGTCCTTATACTTTATCCTTTTTAATAATGTTTTTACTCTATTTAGGCTTGTTAATTCCTCATTAAAGATATGGATTCCCTTTTTTAAAAAAATTTACTTTAAGGTCTGGGATACATGTGCAGAACATGCAGGTTCGTTACATAGGTATACATGTGCCACGGTGGTTTGCTGCACCTATCAACTCGTCATCTAGGTTTTAAGCCCTGCATGCGTTAGGTATGTGTCTTAATGCTCTCGCTCCCATAGCTCCCCAACCCCCAACAGGCCCGGGTATGTGATGTTGCCCTCCCTGTGTCCATGTGTTCTCACTGTTCAACTTCCACTTATGAGTGAGAACGTGCAGTGTTTGGTTTTCTCTTCCTGTGTTAGTTTGCTGAGAATGATGGCTTCCAGCTACAACGATGTTTCTGCAAAGGACATTAACTCATTCTTTTTTATGTCTGCATAGTATTGATATGGATTCAGTTTTAAAGGTAACAAGCTTCATAAGAAAATCCATGGATAATTTCAATTCAATTAACTAACTCATGCTCTTCCCATTTAATAATTCTTGTTCTTATAACCATAAAGTGCTTGTTCTTAAACAATTCTCATTGCTTCTTTATAAATTGACACTATGCTTACAGTGATGGTACTATGCTAGAACCTCTATAATAAAGCCATTAGAGGTCATAGGTGCTATTCGATGACTTTTTAGTGAGACAATTGAAATTGAAATAATATATTGTCTTATATATTGTTTATGGAAGACCTGCTGCATATTCCAATCAGTAGTATTTACTAATACAGTATATCTGCTTTATTTCACAAATGAATACTTGAGGAGAGAGGAAAAGGTAAAGGAATGAGTAAGTCCAGTGGGCAAATAAGTGGTAAAATGAATTTTCTGTGAAGAGACACATCATGCAAAGTTGTAGAGGTGAGGAACTCTGCCAATGTCCAGTTTTGAGGATTTAAAACAGCCTGATTATTCTGTAATGATAGGATCTCAGCCATTAGATAGATGTGTGTGTGTGTATGTATGTGAAATGTATAGATGTGTGTGTGTGTATGTATCTGAAATGTATCTGAAGTTTGTATGAACGTATCTATAGCATAAAACTCTATAACTTAGCACACACACACTCTGCAAAGCAAGAGAGCTGTGTAGATCACATCAGTAGATCAAAAAAAAAAAAAAAAAAAATAGTTCCCTGAAGAACTCTCGGCTTACTCCAGAAAAGGTTACTAAGCATTCCTTACATGGAAGAAATATCATTTTCTTAATGGGGAGGGGCATCTTAAGGATAATATAAAATTAAATAACAGTATTATAGGACATGAGAGTTATTTAAGTAGTGGAGTGGATTTCAGTGTGTGTTCATATTAATAGGAAATTTTCTCTAACTCAAAGGAAAACAGTGTTTCTGAAATTTTTATTTTACTCCAGGGAAAATCAGAATATAAGATCATATAATAAACAAATATATTTTAACAATAACTTCCACCTCCATCTTCTTATAGCTGTTGATCATTGATTTCTGCAATGTTTTTCTGTTTGTGCGCTCAATAACTTTTCTACATCTGGTTTTATACAGGCGTTTTCTTGAAATATATATGTACATATTTTTCCTTTCTTATAAAATGGAAAGAAACAAATAGGAAGAAATGAAAGTTTAAATACTGAGCAATAATTTTTCTTTTCATAGACAAACCTAGATACCTGTGTTTGATTTGAAAGTGTTTTATAACCAACATTTCTGTTTAAAATGTTGTAAGTATGGCCGGTTGATTTAAGAAATATTTGATCAGCAAGGGGAAAGTGTTTAGAATTCTATTTAAAATGTACACTTACGGCCTGGCATGGCGACTCATGCCTGTAATCCCAGGACTTTGGAAGACCAAGGGAGGTGGATCACTTGAGCCTAGGAGTTCAAGACTAGCCTCAGCAATATAGACCTCATCTCTACAAATTTTAGCTTTTTTAATTGATTGGGTATACAGCATGCTGCCAGCTGCTTGGGAGGCTGAGGTGGGAGAACAACTTGAGCCCAGGAGGTCCAGATTGCAGTAAGCCGTGGTCACACCACTGCACTCCAGCCTGGATGGCAGAGTAAGACTCTGTCTCAAAAAAAAAAAAAATTAAACATAAATTATAAAACAGAAAAACCATAGTTTGTTAGATGTGAAACAGCTTTGAGAGCATGGAAACTGATCTATCATTTAAAAGACTGAGATATGCCCCTCTTTCAATGAATTGACACAATTCAGAATATCTTTTAAGATATAAAAGAGACTTTTTCTGAGAGCACATAACAGAAGCAGGACATTTGGTAATAGTTTAAACTCTGATAATGGTGAAATAGAAAGCAATATTAAGTAGAGAGGCAGTATGGCACACCAGTTAAAATTTGGACCGTGGAGTTATGTGTTTTGAGTTCAGGTTCTCTCAGTTTATTTATATGTGAGCTTGAACATTTTATTTTGCCTGTTTTCACTTTCTATTACAGTATATTTTACACGGGGTTATTGTGTGGTGTATGTATTAATGTAGGTAGATATTCAATAAATATTAGTTGTTTTATTATTATGTACTATTACTACAGCAGCTGTGAAAAATATTGTGAATGAACACATGCTATCTTTCCCTTTTTTAAGCTATACTTGGAAGGAGAGAGGGAGACTAACGATGTGTCATTTCCTGGGAAATATGGTTAACAATGGCTTAATTTTAAAGGAATCAGTACTTCAATAGTGAAATTGAGTTTAAATATTAGCAAGTGTCCTTTATGGCCTCCAGCAGACAATCCAGCAAACCAAGCTGCATCTGCAGTGGAGAGAAAAATATAGTGGAATTTGCTCTGCACTCTCAGGTGGGCTTCTAAGAAACTAACTGCTCAAAGACGAGGAAGATGCTCAAGTATTACTAAGGAAAATAAGGAAAGTATAAGTTGAAGTAGGCACTTCATTTTCTTAAATCAAGGGCATAAATTGGATTGCTTTTACGTTTCATTCTGAAACATTAGTAGTGTCTTCCTTGAGTATTACTTTGAAAATAACTCGGAGACTGTGTATATTCTTCAGGATCCATAACTACAGTAAGAATTTAGGAATGAACCATAATTCTAGATAGTCTGAATTAGTTGTAAGCATAAAAATGCTTGGGAACACTCACGGAGTTATCCATATGTTTTGGCAATGACAGATATCAATGAAACCGTTACTTTAATAGACTAGAATATCCGTTACAGGGAGGAAGAAAGATGGTGGCAAGTAGCTTATCAGACAGTTTGTATCAAAGTCAAAGCTTAGGCTCTTTGACTCTATAATCTAGAGTCAAATAATTTAAACATTCCCAAAGATAATATAATTCCCCTGTCAATCTAATTGCTGAAATCATCAGCATGTTTGAAACAAGTCACATGATCTACTAGATTGTGAATTTCTTTACAACAGAATCTATCCTGAGTTTACACGCAAAAAAAAAGTACTTGAAATCATTAAAAGTGAATGTTTCTAACAAACAAGATTGTCTAATAGTGAAATATGCTCCCTTTTAGGTGGTGAGTGCTCCTGAGGTATTGTTTAAGAGACTTGATGTCATATATCTTCTGGAATAAAGGGAAATTATTAATATTGTCTATAATAATTAAAAGATGAATAATGTCTATACCATTGAATTTCCAATCTAACTTTAAAATTCAATAATCTCGTGAATGTCATGATTATCCGTCCTAGCCTTATTACATAGGAAATAGACATCTATTAAATAAAAATTAATTCCTCATTCATAAAATTAAAAATAAGATGTAGAATTTACTTCTCAGTAACCCCAAACTAGAAAGTATCTGTGATGAAACACTAAAATAGATTATTCAGGATGAATGGTAAATGATGAGCAATAATGAGCAGTTATAAAGCTGAAAATAATGCATCTAAAAATTAGGCAAATAATTTATGAAATACAGCAAGATTGTTAAGACATAACCTGAAATAGAATATATTTATGTTTTATAGAATATAAATGATGAGCCTCCTGTATGCAATCCACCACATTTGGAAACTCAAATTTATTCCACTGTTAAGAGTCCTTTCATTCAGCTCCACGGTTCAGACAAAGATTCTCCACAGGAACATCTGAGCTATACAATTGTAGGAGGTAAGACGTATAATTTCAAAAATGTTATTTCTCTGCTGTTTTACAAGATACTCACATGAGATATTTTGTAACCATTGGAAATATATTATGAAACATATTTTAAAATAAAAATGTAAGACAATATAAATCACAATACATAATGTAATTTTATTTCCTTTTTATTACCTAATCATTCTCAGGAAATACAAATAATCAATTCACACTTCAGAGACTAGGTGGTGATCCTCCTTCTCTGGCCATCACGCAGAATTTCCAGTATGATGTATTTCAAGGGGTTCGGAGCCCTGTGACTTTCCAGCTACTTATTGAAGTCACTGATGAATTAGGTGGGAATAAGCCTAGTCAGCTGTCAGCCACTACAACAGTCATAATTCATGTCCTTCCCTGGACCACAACACAGCCAACTTCTTCCACAAAAACAACTACAACTACAGTAAGTACTTAGTGATGAAATATAATTCTAAAGTCATCTGAATTAGTCATAAACATAGAAAGTGCCTGGAAACTCTCACAGGAGTTAACCTTGTGTTTTGGCAATGAAAGACATCAATAAAACAGTTATTTTAATACATTTGGATTCTCCTCATCAATGTAAGGAGAAATTATTGAGGCTGTTAAACACTACTTTTGAAACAAAGTAAACACATCAATGGTAATCATTTTTATGGGCCCTTTCAAGATTTAGTTTAGAAGTCTTAGTAATTCTGTTGAGTCTCATCACAGTGTACTTTGCTCTATTTAAATTAGAACTTATAAAGGTTTTTAATGTAAATAACACCATATTGAGCTCATAAAATATTTAACAAGCTTGTTTTTTTGAAAAATATGCAGTCTGACGGAAAAACAAGATATACACTTTGGCTGAGTCAGTTCAAGCTGCTTTTAAAAAATGCCATAGACTGGGTGGTATAAACAACAGACACATATTTCTCATGGTTCTGGAAGCTGGGAAGTCCAATGTTAAGGTATCAGCACATTTAGTGCTTTTTCTAGTTCATAGATGGCTGTCTTCTCACTATGTTCCCATACAGTGGAAAGAGGGATAGACAACTCTCTGGGGTCTTTTTTATAAGGACTCTAATGTCATTCATGAGGGCCCCACCCTCGTGACCTATTCACCTCAAAAATGTCCCACCTCCTGATACCATCATATTGAGGGGTAAGGATTTCAACATGTTAATTTTGAGGGAACACAAACATTTTGTCCATAACACATTTATTTAAGAAGTTACAGAAAAGTCTTCCCATTGCTTAAGAGTCAAGAAGTTTTGCATTAGTTATACAAAATCACTATAATATAAATTTGAATATTCTTGATCCACGGGGAAAAAAATTGATTGGGGTGGTATAGGACTGGTCATTCTACCAAGTGTCTCAAAGAAGCAAATTAAAATTTTCCCTGTGACACAGTAACAGTAGTCTAGCCTTCCAATTAGTCTAATCATTTTTCAATCCAACTGACACACCACATGATTAAATATAACCAGGCACATGAGAAGATAAGATACTATAACCAACTGAGAAGCAACAGAACCACAAAAAGCAGAAACACAGTAGCTATAAGTAATGGATTATCAAACATAAACTCAATTATTATTAAGTTCATGAAATGTAAACCAAGTATGAAATTTGGTTAGGGTGTTGGAGACTATAAAGGTAATAGAATATGTTAAAATAGTTCAAATATATCTAGAAATTGAAATACAATAACGAATTACAACTTGACAGATGGATTTAATGGCTGGTTAGAAACAGCCAAAGAGACAATTAAGAACTGAAGATATGTCAGAAGAAACTATCTAGAATGAGATATGGAAAGACAAAAATGATGGGAATTACTAAGGGAGAGGAAGGACATAAAAATGAGAAAGAGAAGAGCTGGTTTATTTTAACTTGAGAGATGAGACAGGGAAAGGAAAAGAAGCAGTGTCTAAATATTTTCAAAATTGATTAAAGATAGTAAATTGAAGAAATCTCATGATTCCCTAGAGGAAAAAATGAAAAGAAATTTATACTTAAACAGAACATGGAAAATCTACATAAAATCCAAATATAACAAGAAATATTAAAATCAGTTGTGAAAAAAAAGAAAGATTTCCTTCAAATGAGTGTTCACAAGACAGCTGGCTTTATGATAAAAATAATGGAAGCTAGAAAAATTGAAATGTTCGAGTAACCAAAAGAAAATAACTCCACCTAGAATTCTATACCCAGCAAAAAATACATTTAGGGTCAAATATATAAGCTTTCAATTTGTCTTTAACTGGATCTCATAGTATTTTTATTCATTCATTCCAAAATATTCTCTATTCCCTTAACTTCTAAAGATATGGAGAATTTTCTAGTTATCTGTTTCAATTTGTAGTATAATTATTTAGGATCAGAGATTATAACCTTCTTGACTTCAGTCAACTGAAATAGATGGGGAATTGCTTTACAGTCTGATATATGATCCAGTTTTGTAAATGTTCATGTGGTCATATGATGTTTATCAAAATAAAACTACAAGGCAATAGTAAAAGGATGACAGTTTCAAGAAATTATACTGGGCAACTGATATGCATATAGACGGAGTAGAAACAATCCCCTATAAATCAAGTCTAAATGCATTATAGACATAAAATGGCAATAATAAATAAAATAACTATACTTTAGAAAGAATTTAAGAGACTACCTTATTAACTTTGTAATAGGGAAAGATTTCATAAATAAAACAAAACTAGAATAAGAAAAAAATTGAGAAAATTGAATACTTTAGAATTAAGAACTTCTTATAGATGAAAGGATAGGATGTCTAACTTTTGGATTAAAATAAGTTGGGATGGAGAGAAGTAAGAAAGAAAAAAGATTAAATAAAACAGTATACATTGACAATTATTGGTATTGTATGATGGGTACCTGGTGGATTATTATATTTTTATACTTTTGTGTATGTGTTAAGTATCATATAAAGTAGCTGTAAAATAATGGAAAGGAAAATAATCTGAGATGCCCATGAATTTTGCTAAACTATTAGTATTTAACATGGCAAAGTGCTCCTCAAATTACCCTCACAGATAAAATACTCTCACTTATTTAGCGCTTCATTAAAACTTTGTTATCTGCTTTAGAGCTTTTAGTCATATATTTTATATAGTTAAACTCTATAATTTATTATTTAAATCATGAATATTCTCCTGGTCATCAGCAAATTGCTTCTGAGTCCCTCTCCCCACTCCATGGCATATGACAATAGAACTTTCTTTCATATTCCACAAATATATATTAAAATTGTTTGATAAGTCAGGTAAATATTGCCTAAGACTAAGTTATATTGTCAGTGATATTGCAAGGTATTATGGTAGAATTTCAAACAGTTAAAAAGTGTTGTTTTTCATTTCTGGCTCAACATGAAACTCACCTCTTTAATTCTGAGTCAATTTTCTCTGCTAAAATCTTGCTTCTTTGGGAGAGATCATATTTAGCCTGTATCATCAAAGAAAAAAAAGCTCCTAATTTATGTTAACACATGGTTTTCCACCATTCAGTTTCCCAATTAGTAAAGCAAAATCTAGCAAAGCAGAAGACATTGTAATAAAACGTAATAGACAAATTTTGCAGCAAGGTGGGAAAGGATTTTAAAATTTGTAGTTGAGCTAAGGGGTATTCTAATCTATGTACTTCCTTTGGTAATCTACATTAGGCTTGCTAAAAGAGGCAAACCAATTAATACTGTCCTCAAATGATTACCAACCTGTGACTTATGAATTTATTGCCACAGACTGTAGCAAATGGTCCATCTTTTCTCCATAACCAGTATCAGCTTTTATATTTATATGTGTACTAATGTAATACACACATCTCTGCAGGGAGACATATGTGCAAAACGTGTAACCAAACCAGAAGTAACCTTCGAAATTCTGTGTTTCAACTAATTCATTGTGTAAGAAGGGAAAATGATATGCAGATAGGTTGTCACTTACATTTGCTTGAGAGTGAGTAAATATACAAACACACCTGTATATTTTATAATAGCCTTTAAAAAACTAATATTTCTAAACATTTGTTAAATGCAGCACTGACTAGCCATTATTTATATTTGGGTATGTGTATTAGTCTGTTTTCATGCTGCTGATAAAGACATACCGCAGACTGGGAAGAAAAAGAGGTTTAATTGGACTTACAGTTCCGCGTGGCTGTGGAGGTCTCAGAATCATGGCAGGAGGTGAAAGGCACTTCTTACGTGTGGGCAGCAAAAGCGGAAGCCCCTGATAAACCCATCAGATATCGTGAGAATTATTCACTATCACAAGAATAGCACAGGAAAGACCAGGCCCCGTGATTCAATTATCTCCCCCTGGGCTCCTCCCACAACAAGTGGGAATTCTGGGAGATACAATTCAAGTTGAGATTTGGGTGGCAACAGAGCCAAACCATATAATTCTGCCCCTGGATCCACCAAATCTCATCTCTTCACATTTCAAAACCAATCATGCCTTCCCAACTGTCCCCTAAAGTCTTAGCTCATTTCAGCATTAACCCAAAATTCCATAGTCCAAAGTCTCATCTGAGACAAAGCAAGTCCCTTTCAGCCTATGAGCCTGTAAAATCAAAAGCAAGCTAGTTACTTCCTAGATATAATGGAGGTATAGGTACTGGGTAAATACAGCCATTCCACATGGGAGAAATTGGCCAAAACAAAGGGGTTACAAGGCCCATCCAAGTCCGAAATCCAGTGGGGCAGTCAATTTTTTTTTTTGGAGGGGGGACAGAGTCTCGTTCTGTCACCCAGGCTGGAGTGCAGTGACGCGATCTCAGCTCACTGCAAGCTCCGCCTCCTGGGTTCATGCCATTCTCCTGCCTCAGCCTCCCGAGTAGCTTGGACTACAGGCGCCCACCACCATGCCCCGCTAATTGTTTGTATTTTTAGTAGAGACGGGGTTTCACCGTGTTAGCCAGAGTGGTCTCGATCTCCTGACCTCATGATCCGCCTGCCTCGGCCTCCCAAAGTACTGGGATTACAGGCGTGAGCCACTGCGCCCGGCCTTGGGGCAGTCAAATTTTAAAGCTCCAAAATGATCTCTTTTGACTCCAGGTCTCACGTCCAAGTCACACTGATCCAAGAGGTGGGTTCTCATGGTCTTTGGCAGCTCCACCCCTGTGACTTTGCTGGGTACAGCCTCCCTCCTGGCTGTTTTCACGGGCTGGTATTGAGTGTCTGTGCCTTTTCCAGGTGCACAGTGCAAGTTGTCTGTGGATCTAACATTCTGGGGTCTGGAGGATGGTGGCCCTCTTCTCACAGCTCCACTAGGCAGTGCCCCAGCAGAGACTCTGTGTGGGGGCTCTGACTCCACATTTTCCTTCTGCACTGCCTTAGCAGAGGTTCTCCGTGAGGGCCCTGCCACTGCAGCAAACTTTTGCCTAGGCATCCAGGCATTTCCATACATTTTCTGA